TCAAAACCTGGGTATGTTGGGACAGTCTGAGAATTCATCTGAGTGGGTGATCATAGTGACAGGATCAGCCTCTTTGTCGGACAAAGGTAATGATCGGGGATGCACTCTCTCTAATGGAAACCAAACTGCCGACAGTTGATTTCAATCGTTGGAATTTTGTTTTGCAGATTAGGATAACTCCTAATAAGATTAGGAAGTTTCTTAATCACTAAGAAATGGAGGAGAAACCCTAATTCGAATTACAAGAATTCGAACCCTAAGGATTTCGCAGATTATACTGCATTCTTGAGATAGGATCTCAGAAACCCTAGAGAAAAGAAAAAGCAGTTCGCCATCTTCTTCTCTAGCCTTCTCCTCCAGCAGCCGCCGCCATCTACTACCAGTTCGAGTTCTCCGTGAGGGAAAATCAAGAAAGGTTCTTGATTGTGTGTGGTGCTCACTGCTTCCATCGAGTTCTTTAGAAGAACCTGGTTCGTGGGACGAACACTGCTGGTTTTGTTCCATCATCACTGTGTCATATTCAGTGGGAGCAGTTCTTGGGATTTTCTTTGGGCGTGAACACCGACGTTGGGAGATACTGCTTCTCCAGATCAGGTATATCCCTTCCTTTCTCTTTTGGTTTAGAACTGGTTCGGTTTTGGTTCAAGATAAATCCTGGAAAATTCAGGGAATATGATTCCCAGTTGGAAGAAAGACAAGACATTTTTGAAATTCGCCCTCCCATTCCACAACCTTTTTGGCGTTCATATGATGGATCTTACCATTCTTTCAATTTAATTAATCTAATTAACCCAGTTCGAAATAGGCTTTTTAGGCCCATTAAGCTTTCAGGCTCACTTTCACTTTAATGCTGGCTAGCTTGGCTCTCTTTGTATGGCGTGAGACCTTATCATTAATCTACACATCAGCAACATGGGTTCAGCCTAGCCTCTGTTACAAGGCCTGACCGAATTCACTGCTGAATATAGTGAACCCCTGAGTCCATAACTATGGGCTCTTAATGGGCTCAACATTTATACTAAATGGTCCTTGGGTCCAGCTATCTTATGAAGGCCCAAGGACTGTGGGCAGATGTAAGATTAGCCCATTAGGTATAATCCTCAATGGTCTTACATTTAACCTCTCATCCCATAATGATCAAACACTACTCGACAAGAGATGACCTCTCCCTCGGCTGCAAGGTACAGTGCTGCACTCTCAATCACATGGATCCCGGGAATTGAAACCTTTTGCAATCATTTTGAAACCATATATATATATATATATGTGTGTGTGTGTGTGTGTGTGTGTGTGTGTGTGTATCTCTATATAAATATATTTTGCAAAACAAATTTCAATGGTTGAAATCAACTGCCAGCAGTTTAGGTTTCCATCAGAGAGAGTGCGTCCCAGATCATTTACTTTGTTCAACAAAGGGACCGATCCTGTCACTATGATCACCCACTCAGATGAATTCTCTGACTGTCCCAATATACCCAGGTTTTGACCCCTCTAAGGATCTCACTGATTGGCATATCAAAGACATTCTAATCCGACACTTAGTGCAGTATCATAATCGAGTCTAGGGGTCAGGTGTAACATTCCAGTTTTTCCCATCTATCTCCAAGGTCCAGGGCAATATTGGAATTTTGGTCCAGTTCAGGGTTTCAAGAAAACCCACACTGCATGTACCTAGGTCTCACCCTAGCAGATAAGACAAGCCACCCCAACCACTTGGTAGTACACCAGTGTCAGCCTTGCTAGGATAAATCACCCTAGATCTATCTAACGGCTGTGAATATTCTAAATTAACACGAGTCTCATATGTGTCCAGTTTAAGGGTATTATACAAAGACACTATAATAACATGAATCAAATATGTACTTTATTCATTTACAATAAATGTCATAATATACATCATGCTGATTGGAGTTAAGGGCATACACTGTCTAACAAATCCTAATTTATTTTTATTTTATATTTGAGTTTCTCTTTTTTTTTTCTCCTGAAGCTTAATAAGTCATTTCATTTAACATAGTTAAAACGACAATCCTTGATAAATTGAATCACTGAGAAAAGGACAAGTCGCCCAGGTTTGAGTTTTTATATTTTTGTTTTGTTTGTTTAAAGAAGTAAAATAGGAATTAAGATGTAGTCTCAAAGAATAGAGGCTGACGGATAAGATTATTTGTTTGAAAGGAATAAGGTGAGAAGTAAATTGATGTGGTTCTCACTCTATATAGGAGAGAACTTGGGGTGGAAACAAAGTGGTGCAAAATTTGCATCAATTTTTTTATTTTTTTATGTAAATTTGCACTGTCAATTAATGTAAAATGAAACACGTGTAAATTATATATCATGCAAGTATAAATTATAATTATAAACAAATGGATGCAACATTTGTGTTGGTTCAGATTTGCATTGCAAACAAAAGGATATATTAATAATATTCCAGAGTTTCCATCCACCCTTGGACCCGCGCCCACCATTCATTAATTTATTAAATGTTGTGTTTTTCCTCTCCGAATGTTAAACAACTATTGATGTTCGATTCAATTGAGCCAATGTAGAAAGGTGGAATAAAGCGAAAGAGTAACAATCCGAAAAATGGATGTAGAGAGCTATATCTGAGTCCAATCTCTTAAAGTTCAAACCATGAATATTGCCACACAGACTCACAGAGTGCAAACTTTCTATATTAAATTCCTCCTAGAAGGAACTGACAACGATTATGCTCCTGGATGGAGCTGGGCTTTAAATGAATTTCGAGTTTGGGCTCTGTATTTCTGAATTGCTTAAAAGTCAAAACATCTCTCTCTCATCATTATTTAGTTTAATCAATCGGGAAATGTAGTTTTATTAGAGTTCACATCTCCACCCCACAACGCCCCATAGCATATTCCCGCTGAGTATTAGGAACATCTCATGATAGTTTCAGAATTGATGATATCATCATTGAAAGATATTCCCAATATACAACCAAAATGTACTGTAAGGCGGTGAACTTATTTTATTAACATGGTAAGTGTTAATAAAAGAGAGAATTGAATGCTTTTATGATAATCGATTGAGTGGTGACTAGATTGGCATGTAATCGGAAAAGCCTCGGATGCGGTTTGGAGCCCCTGCTACTAATGGCTCTGAATCCACGTTTATAAAGAATTGCAGTGCTATACCACGGGAATTGGATTAGGTAAAGGCGAGTAATCAATACAAAAAAAGGAATGCTTTAGTGGTGACGCATGACAAAACCAAAACCAACCGGAAATAACGACATCTTTTCATCCCTCCTTTTAAGGAGCCAAAGAAAGGGACATCGTACAATACTGACATGGAGAGAGACAACTGGAAAACAAGAATTCCAGTTTTAGGCAAGAGAAGATAAAAATTGCCCACAAGATTCCGGAGACAGAGCCCAAACCTCAAGACGATACCTAACTTATTCTCAAAGAACTGTTTAACCTAAAAGTTTTAAGATGTTAGCTGAAATCTTTAAATAGATTTTTATTCTCTAACGCGCCTCCTTTAGTAGAAAGCAAATGGGTCTGGGCCTAGACAAACACAGATTAGACAAGATCAAACATTAGACAACTTGGTCAAATAATCTCTGATACCTCTCAAAAAACCCTTCAACCTAAAAGCTTAAGCGTGAGATCCTTACAAAGGTTTTTACTCTCTAATGAGTAACCAAATTTCCTCCCTTGCTCTCTCTCTTATTCTCTAATACGTAACCAAATTTCCTCCCTTCCACTCTCTCTCTCTCCATCCCCCCACCTCTACCCCATTCATGGCTTCTTCCCAGTATTGGTACAGAGTGACCAATAATGGGGGAGCCGAGAGAAAACACCAGTGCTGCCTTCTCTTCGGAGGCACAACCATCACCACCGCCACCACCACCACCACCACCACCACCGCCGCCCCGCAGGGAGGTGTCCCTTGTCCAACCCTCCGGTAAGAAGAAACATAAGCCCGCCAAGGTCTCTCGCGTCTTCAAATCTGTTTTCCGATCGGTTCCAATCATAACGCCTGTGTGTAAGTTTCGAGGAATTCCAGGTGGGTTGTCGGATGGGCATGGGCATCGCGTTGCTGGGAATCGTGTGACGGGCACCATGTTCGGATACCGTAAGGGAAAGGTGAGCTTGTCGGTGCAGGAGAATCCACAGTGTCTCCCTACGCTTGTAGTGGAGCTGGCCATGGAAACCAATGTGTTGCAGAAAAAGATGAGCTCCGGCATTACCAGGATTGCACTGGAGTGCGAGAAGAGACCAGGGAAAGACAAGATAAAGCTGTTCGAAGAGCCCCTTTGGACAATGTACTGCAACGGAGAGAAGAGTGGATACAGCGTCAGGAGGGAGGCGTCGGAGGAGGATCTGAACATCATGGAGCTCCTCAAGGCCGTCTCCATGGGAGCCGGCGTTCTCCCTGGGAATTCGAAGCTAGAGGGACCAGATGGTGAAATGGATTACATTCGGGCTCCTTTTGTGCATATCGTGGGTTCTAAAGACTCTGAGACCCTATACATGGTAAGCCCTGAAGGTAACATTAATGGGCCAGAACTCACCATCTTCTTCGTTAGGATTTGATCCACTCCAAGCCTCCAACAGAGTGATTGGCATATGGGAATCATTCGAGTATGCATCGCTTTATGCATATCATCTCATCACGTTATCCTCCCTTTAAACACGCCACAGATGATGTGGGTGATATCTTGTCTTGTTTCAATGGAAGGAGATGATCCAACCAAAGTTGCAGATGTAGAATGAAGGAGGGGAGGATTAGAGGTTAATTGCTTAGGAGATCCAATCAGGTGAACAATAAAAGAGAAGACTAGTACAAGGAAAATATCTGTTTTCTTAATCATTCAAATGAAGAGTTGTGTCTTCTGTTGTATAAAAATGGCCTTCCTTGTATAGAAAATACCTTTGAAGGAAAAAGTAGAGAAAGGAAGGGAAATGTAAGACAAAATCCTATTCAAGGTTTGTAAAGGGAAAGTTTCCCTGCCTTTCCTTTCCTTTCCCTACTTTTTCCTTCAAACCAAACACAGCCTAAGAGTTAAAGAGTTAAGAGACACCTCCACAGGAGTGCAAATGGATCGGACCCAATGTTCGATCCAATCCTATATTGTCGGATTCCCATATTTCTGTTTTAGATTTTTGGATTGGATTGGATAATCGGAAATTGGATCAAATTCGGATCACTCTGATCTGATATATATGCTATGTATTTATTTATTCATATATGATATATATGTATATATGTTATTTATATTGCATCTTTGTAAATCTTTATGTTATTTATTTTTTATAAAAACATGTATATATATTTTGATGAAAATAGTTGAAAAAATACTTGTATTTTTTGTTTTTCTTTATTTAAACAAATATATTTTATTTTCTTTTAATAGTTTATTAATTTTTAAAAATAATTCGAATCAGATCAGATATCTACAGCTTGATCGGATTTGAATTCAAATCAATATTTATGAGATCCAACTTAATCATGGTAGAATTCACATCCTCTGTCCCCTTGGTACAATTTTCTTTTGTACTAGACCAATAGCAATTTGCCACACCAACCTATTTTCCCATTTCAAAATTAAAGTGATTTTTTTAGGGAGAAAGACGGTTTAGCACAGGGTCAAAATTTGTAGGCCCAAACTACTATTGGGGTAGGTGCCAGCTCGGAATTGAAGCCAATTCACGGGTGGGCGTTGGTGCATAGAGTGTGGGTTGTTGCCATTTTAAATGCTTATAGCTCTACAGTGGAAATCAGAAATTTGCATTAGCCTATCCGTACATTTTCATTTTTTTTAAAGGGAAAATTCCACTTTAGTACCCAAAACATTGAGGGTAGTGTCAAGTTAGTACCCGAACTTTCAAACGTATCACTGCAATACCTAAACTTTCAAAAAGTGTCAAGTTGGTCCCTGCCGTTAACTTACTGTCAGTTATCCGTTAAAAATGTCAAAATTACCCTTCAAAAGAAGACTACCTTGAGACTGAACAATGTTGCAGATGTAATCGATTGATTGAACAACAGATCCCTTCTGTACTCTCTCGTTCACCCGATCGTTCAATTGAGTCACCAACATTGCGTGCTGAGTGGAAATGGAATCAGAGAGTAGAAGACGATATCGATCCTCTGAATTGCCTATGAGCTTGAATTCCAAGGCTTGTACAAGAGGCTTTGAGTTCACACGCCACTATTGATGGTTGCAATTGCATTGGGCATGAGATACACACACATTTCCTCAAATTTTTGAAAACTTTGGAATCCAAAGATTTGTAGTGGAGTTGAATTCAGACAACCTTAAAACCTAGAAAATGAATCTTAAGAAGTTCAAAAATTTGAATTACTAAAATACGCAGGCATTTTCTCAGATTTTTGAAAATTTTGGAATCCAGAGATATGCAGTGGAATCGAATCCAAACAACCTTAAAAACCTAAAAAATGAATCTTAAGAAGTTCCAAAATTTGAATCTAGGGCTCGAAAGTCCACAAATTCAAAATGAACTAAAAAAGACCTTGAGGATTACAGATTCGAGATGACGAAAGTTTCCTACCAAAAAATTGTAGAAAATGTAATATAAAGAAATTTGGTAAAAAGAAAAACCTAGGTATTTGAGTGAAAGATCGAGAAAAGCTATCAAAATGCAACAAAAGAACTGATAGAAGAGTTGCGGTGACACTTTCCTTTCTGAAACAAAGGGATAGAGATGAGGAATTGAAGAGTGCTAGGTTCTTCTTGAAAAAATAGGAAAAGTTTTAAATGAATGCTGAAGAATTCTCGGCCAAAGGGATCTGTAGCTAGGGTTTTAAGAGTTTTTATTTACAGAGAATGACGGTTGAGCCCAATGTCAGAATTTTTAGGACCAAAGTATAGTTGGGGTGGGTGCCAGTTCGGAATTGATGCCAATTCCCGGGGGCATTGGTGTGTAGAGTGGGGGTTTTTGACATTTTGAATGTTTATAGCTCTACAGTGGAAATCAGAAATCTGCATTGGGCCTGTTCGAACTTCTCCATTTTATTTATGGCGGGGAAAGGAGGAGAGAAACAGACTCGAAGGTTGAACCTGAAAGGACTGGTCAGAGCTTCTATAAAAACCCCATATTGAAGACACTGTTCATTGTCTTCTACCTTGAGACTGAACTGGTTGAGGTGTTTGAGATTCTAGACTAATGAAGTGATTGTATTCTACCTTTAGATCTGAAACTCATTCTTGTCTAGTTATTTACTTATTTCTTTGCTTTTAGTTATTGTTTCCCTCTATCATATTTCATGTTTTTTTCTCTTTTTCTTTGAATATAACCAGTCCAGTCTCAAGATAGAAGACAATGAACAATGTCTTCTTCTGAAGGGTAGTTTTGACATTTTCAGCAGATAACTAATGGTCGGTTAACGACAGGTACCAACTTATTGACACTCTTTGAAAGTTTAGGTATCACAATGACACGTTTGAAAGTTCGGGTACTAACTTGACACTACCCCCAAAGTTCAGGGTACTAAAGTGAAATTTTCCCCTTTTTAAATGATGTGGCAGGTTGCTATTGGTCCATACAGAAAATTTTCTAGATCAAGGGAACAGATGATGTGAACTCTCTATTGTTCAAGCCCATCTTTTGCAATTAGACCTCTTGATGGGCTGGGTAGTCCAATGGGTCAGCTTGGATCACTTTAAGTCAGCCTTGGACATGATTTTAGGACCATGGGCTTGGGATCGGTTTTTGGGCCAAAAAAACAAAGCTGGACCTTTTTCGGGTCAGGATATGTGTGTGTGTGTGTGTTTCTTTGTTCCTCTTTTCTTTTTTCAAATAATAGTGAGATCTTTCATTATTTTGGGATTTTGAGGTCTTTTAATATAAATAATATTTTTATTGAATAAAAAAACATTTTTTCAAATTTCTGGCCAGGCCTGGGCTTAGGCTTTGGGCATAAAGACTAAGCTCAGACTCAAGACCTAGAACCGATGGTTGAGTCGAACTCAAACTCAGACTTGAATACATTCTATTAATATAGAGACAAAATCCTGCCCAAACCCAACCTGGCCTACATGTAGTTGCAATAAGGACTTGTAACTCGTAAGTGGAAACATGCATGTAAGATAAAGTGGGGACCAATGAAAGTTTATTTTCCCAGGCAAGTGGTACCCATCTCCTAGGTGGGTAAGTTAACTTTCCCATCTAAGGGAAAGATGCCAATACTTGGATGGGACAAAAATGCCCCTTTTAATAATGGAATTTTTATGGCTAAGATGGTCATTGCCTTATTTACATGGGAAATAAAAGAACATGGGTAAATGCACTTACCTAGGTAAGTCTTTCCTGGGAAATACTTACCCAGGTAAGTGATTTACCAAAAAGCATACGGGACAAGAGATAATAACATTCCAATGAGCAAGTTTGTTGTATTGAGGGATGGTATGAACACAATTTACCTGCATGAAGTTCTTCATTTCAATTCTCAATATTTTCCAATAGGGCCCCAATATCGAACAAATTTTTGAATGCGCCAAATAAGAGAATCGATCAAAATTTTGCAATCACAATAGATATAGATTTTTTTTTCTTTTTTTAAGGATCAAGTCAATACCTGAATTTCAAAATGTGCTAATGTAGTACTTGAATTCCTGAAAATTATCAATTTAGTCTAAAATCGTTAGTCAAGGTTAAGTGACATGTGAAAGGACACAGATGCCCTTCGAGTGTTTTATAATTTTCTCTATGAACCCAAATATCTAATCCTCTATTTTCTAAAGGATACAATTTCTTCTCATAACTAATCCATTTTGAAAAACAAGCATGATGTGAAGTTATATTGAAATGTGGAGAAAATTAAAGGTAGTCTACACAAAACTCTTAGACTCTATTTGGAACAAGGTTCAAAGTATTGGTACTTTTTTTAGGTTTTACTTATTTTTTCGAAATCAGTTCAGAGGGGTCCGTTTAAGGCCCAACCACCCTTTGAACCAGTGCCTAACCTGATATGCCAGTAGGGCGTATGGCACGATACGTGTCGATCGATACGTAGGGGTCTCCATGAGCCGAGCTCTTAACGATCTACTCGAATTCGGCTCAGTTCGGTTTCTACCGAGCTTCAAGCTGAGCTCGAGCCCAATTTAAAGGATTGATTAATAAGTGAGTCGAGCTTGTGCCTAATAAATATATATATATATATAATATAATATAATATAATTATAAAAAATAATATATATAATAAAAGTATTATAATTCTTAATTTTTATAAATATCAAATAAAAACTATTTTTATATTTTTATTAAAACATTTTTATCAAATCAAGCTCGAGCCGAGCCGAGCTTGAGCTCAAGGTTCTAGCTTGAATCGAACTTGAGCTCAAGGTTCTAGCTCGAACCGAGCATGAGCCTTGTCCTACCTTGGCGAGCCAAGCTCGAGCCACGTACTATTTGGCTCGGCTCAGCTTGAATCCACCCCTACCGGTACGAGTCGATATGTAACGATACTTTGAACCTTGATTTGAAAGGAGTGCGAATACAATTTTGTAGAGTGAAAAACCTTGTGTTTTGTATGTACTTCACATTACATATTTGTATTTGTGTTCTTTCTAAACTGAGCCTTAAGATCATTGATTTCTGGTCATGTAACCAAGGTTCAAAGTATCGATACGTATTGGGCTGTATCGGCCGATGCATATTGTATCGGGAGCTTCCTGATACACCCCTATAGAGGGTGTATCAAGATTTTGACCGGTTCAGGGAGTGGATGGACCTTAAACCAGTCCCTCTGAACCAAATTTGAAAAAAAAAATAAAAAAAAATTATTGATATTGCTCGATATGTCGATAAAGGCGTATCGGGTGTATTGATATTTTGAACCTTGAATGTAACCAAATGAATAGGGAAGAAATCTAATATTAAGTGTATATCATCGATTCAGAGATTAGAATTTATTCTATTATTGCCAAGGATTTA